AACTTTGTTTGTTAAGGAATGTCTTCCCATGAAGGTTCACAGGACGAATATCTGCACATTAAACAGCACCGCAAGTATCATTCCGGATTCTACGAGAAGAAACTGCCTGGAACTCATCAGCAGAGGGCGTGTGGCTCCTTATCCAGGTAGGAGCAGGGAAGAAAGCAAGTGTCCATCAAACCCGGAACCAGACAGTCCTCATCGGAAACACGAAACAAAACTAAACCAAACCGAAGCTTACTTTGTACCACGAAGCGCTGCAGAAAAGAGCTGGTGTTTTTTAGGGCAATATGTCTCTAGACACACAAAAAGACATCAATTTAGTTTTGGAGGCATCTCTGATCATAGCACACACACATGCGCGCACAAGTGTGCACGCAAATACACACACAATCCTCTTGCTTCGATGGACAGGCAGGGCTCAGGAAAGTCAAGATGAAGAAGAAAATCAGAAATCAAAACTTTAAAACAACTAGAAAGTAAAATTCAAAATACAAGTCTAGACTTTATGGCCTTTTTCTTTTAAAAAAAAATAATAAAAATCATTGTCAAGCATTCATTGTCCAGCTCAGTGGATAAAGACTCTTGCTACCAAACCTGAGACCTGAGTGCAGTCCTTGGCCACGGAAGAAGCAGGGAAGTGACTCCTGCAATGTGTCCTCTGAGCTCCACCCCCAGCTGTGGCGCACACTACTTCTCACACACACACAGAGAAATTGTCATTTTTAAAAAATTACGTAAAAATCAAAAAATTTAAGTCTCTAATTCAAAAAATAACTTCAAAAGGCAGAAAGATTTTAATAAAGATAAAAGCATAAATCAATGAATTAGAGTCCCTGGAAGGGTAATATTACTAATAAATACTACAGGCTGATCTTTGGGGAATGGCAATAGATCACGTCATTAGCTAATGTAATCGAGATCGGGCACGAGGCTAGAGGACGGCTCAGCAAAGAGCCTGTGATCCTTCGGTCCCACACAGGACCAGTGTGGTGGCACGTGACTGGACCCCAGCACCGGAATGCCTGGGGCTCGCTGGTGGCTGAAGCAGCCAGCGGTGGGAACCTGGGGTCCTCTGGCCCTAGAGCCGCACGGGAGACAAAGAGCACTATGTGGCGTCAGGGACCAAATCACACCACACTATGTATCCTCATCGAAAAACCTGTATCAAATTATGTTTAAAATTCTTTATCAGAGCCATTCAAGGAGCAGGAAAACAATGAAAACAATTACCAGAGAAGAAAGAGCAAACAGCATTAAAAGGCTGCTGGCCCCACCGGCACACACACCAGGCCCCACGGCACACACGCTGGCTTAAGTTTTACCCTGGAACGGAGCAGGCTTTACAACAACTCCACTTAACTGTCACCAAGCACAGGAGTGTGGGAAGGCTGCAGGTGGCAACAGCCAACAACAAACCAATTGTTCTGATGGGGGGCATGGCAGTAAGGTTAGGGCTACATGACAAGATCCTGTCTTCAAGAATGCTGAAAAACTCTAAAGCAAGAATCTTAAATAACAGATCCAAGCCTAAAATAACATCCTGAAAGTACGTTATAGAGGGCGATCCCCCTCCCCCCCCATGACCACAGTCTGGGGTTCAACCAGAATGCAAGGATCCTTCAACACAAAGGTGTCCCGTGACATCATTGCTCACAGGCTCATAACCTGCACAGCCACCTGGAAACGTCCAAGCCCCGTTCATGATCATAAACCTTTAATAAAAGGGAGACCGACTCAACTTGAACAAACACTCATTGCACAGCTGGCATTTCCTTGGCAGAGCTATCTGCATGCTACAGTATTTGGAATGATGCGTACCACTATCATCAGCGTTCCAGAGACGACAGCCACACAGTTCCCCTACTCAACAAAACAAACTAAAGATAACATAGGAGCCAGATATGGAGGCCAGGGGCCCACATCTTTAATCCCAGCACTGGGGAGGTTGAGGCTAGCCTGAGCTACATAGCAGGCTCCGGGCCAGCCAGGGCTACATAGAAGACCCTGTCTTAAAACAACAAGCACACACAACCAAACCCAACACGGTGGTGCACAGCTGCAAGTCCAGCGCCCTGAAGGGAGAAACAGCATGATCACTTAGACGGCGAGTCTGGAGCCAGCCTGGACTGCACGAGGCTGCTCTCAAAAAGCATTAAATTCTCATTTTCACTGAGTACTGTAAAACGGGTGAGATTAAACTGGAAAGTCCTTTTAGCAAGAGGATGCAAGGTGGTAGGGGGCAGCAGCGTTCACAGGATCAGCCTCGCTATGCAGGAAGTCGTGCATCAAAAAAAAAAAAACGCTCTCCTCTCCGGAAGCAAACTGGCCCGCAAACGTGTTGGAGCTAAAGGCAGTGGCTGCTAGAACATTCCCGGGGACACGGGAAGAGTGTGAACCGCATGCCTCAGGACACGAGAGGAACATACAGGCATGCCTCAGGACACGGGAGGAGTGTGAACACACAGGCATGCCTCGGGACACGGGAGGAGTGTGAACACATAGGCATGCCTCGGGACACGGGAGGAGTGTGAACACGCAGGCATGCCTCGGGACACAGGAAGAGTGTGAACACACAGGCATGCCTCAGGACACGGGAGGAGTGTGAACACATAGGCATGCCTCGTTTTCGGAAGGAAAGAGTGTTACGTGACTCCTGGGATCCATCTGTCAAGGTGTGCAGTTGCACCATGAATGCCACCCCTAAGGAAGTGGCTCTTCAGGTCAGAAGGCAAATAAACAAGGTTACCATGGAAATCTGGAGTGGGTTACTAAGGAGCATGAAGCTATCCGTGTTATCAGTGCTGCAAAGTGGCTGACCTTGGAGAACCAGCCACACTGGGCCAGTCACACACTGGGCTCGGCAGATTAAAGGGCTGGCTATCAAGCCCAAGGGCCCTGAGTTTGATTTTGGGGACCCACATGATGGAAGGAGATAAGTGATTCCCACAAACCATCCTCTGACCTCCCCATGTGCCTGGTCACACGTGTGTATGTGCTCACACATAAAATAAATAAATGTAATTACAGAAAAAACACCCACAAAAGAGCATGCGTGGTGCGAAAGTCAGTTGTGACAGATGTGAGCTGAACTTCTCCGTGGAGAAGGGGCGGAGGGAGGCGGCAGCTGTCGCTGGGTCTGAGGCTGCGTGACTGCTGATGCTAATCAGCCTGTGAGTCTACCCAGAGATCGCTGCGGGCTGATCGGGGTCATGGCTCAGTAAACTCGCCAGTTTCCAAGCCTCAGCAACGAGAGCCGACTGTGGGAGTGTGACCCCTGTCCTGGCATCAGGAGGTCAAAGTCATCTTTGGTTACATGGTGAGCTCGAGGCTAGCCTGGGCTACACAAGGCCTTGCCTCAAAACAAACAAAAAAAGAATGAAAACAAAATGGGGTGGGGGTGGATAAATACGGATGAGCCTGGTGGACCTGGCTAGCTCAGAGGCAAGAGATGTTGCTTAGCGTGAATGAGGACCTGGTTCAAACCCCAGAGTTGCCAAACAGAAAGGAAAGAGACCAGTACCTGCCTGATTCTGATCACACTAGATCTCAACCTCACACTTTAAACCAGTAAAGTTACAAAACAATTTTGTTTCGTTTTTGATACAAGGTTTCCCTCACTATGTAGACCAGGCTGGCCTCGAACTCAGATCTGCCTGCCTCTGTCTCCTGAGTGCTGGGGAAATCTTTTTAATACTGTATATATATATACACATATATGTGTGTATATATATATAAAAGGAAGCCTTTTGAATCAGGGAGGTCATCTACTTTTAAACAAGAGAGTGGAAGGAAGCTTGGGGAGATGGTTTCCCTTCAGAGAGCAGCCTGGGGAAGGGTCCCCCACATCTGACTTAAACCCAAGCCACAAAGGAGCTCTGGTGAACTGGGGCAGAATCCAAGACAAAAGACAAACCAGGGGAGACATGCTGTTCTCGTGTCACACACAGCGGCTCCCACAGGGAACAAAGACGGACAGAAACCAGCACCCTGTCAGAAACCAGCCCAATAGACGCACACAATGTTCAAAGCGAAACAAACGGCCTGTACAAAGACACTGAATTTGTGTCTTCTGAAATGAGAACTACACAGTAAACCCACCGCCCAGGGGCCAGAGCCTGTCCTGGTGCGCACGACCATGTGGGGAAGTGGTCCTTTACACGGCTGCACACTGTCCCGGGGTGTAACCGTTAAGGCTGCCAGACCACACCCACCAGACTGATGAAGGGTCTAACATGCCCTGACGCCGTATCTCCTCTTCCAGAGTTTCCCCACGCTGCATTCACACCTGGTGATAACACCGGGTTTATTGCCGCATCGCTTATCAGATCAACAAGCTGTGGACAGTTTAAAGAGAGGGCTGGCCAAATAAATCATGGCTCATCCTCCCCAGAGAAAGGGACACGGAAAGAGGCAGCTCTCTGGCAGGTGACCTGGAGGATGGATGGCCAAGTGAGGTGCTGGACCACATCAGATGTGCAAGCATTTGCCAAAGCACATAAAACATCTGAGGGCACACAGGAAGTGGACACCAGCTGCCTCTGAGGGGTGGGGCTCCAGGCTCTCATTCCATCCTTAGGAACGATGAACAAGAATTCTGCTTTCAGGATAAATAAATAGTTGGAGCAGCAGCAACAGTGTAGACAGCTGCTTCCAGGCTGCAGGGCAGAGGCCATGTTGCGCCTCACTGGAGACCCATGTCCCATCCCTACTTTCTGTCATGAAGTATGCAGTCCAGGCTGGCCTCCCTCCTGAGTGCTGGGGTGACGTCCAGAACTCTGACGTGGAGGCATGTTGTGGGTGTCTCCCAGGGGGATGAGCCCAGGCCTTCCAAGGTATCTCAAGGTAGAGGTTCTACATGAACACCCCAGCAGGGGTCACACTCGACACCCCAGCATGGCCCACTCTGACCCGGAGCAGAAACCAGAAACCAAGTCCGGGGATTCAGAGTGTGCAGAGGAGGGAACAGGGAACAGGAGGCGGGGAGGGGTCTCACTCACACTTGCGAAGCTCAAGGCTCTTGCTGGGGCAGGCCAGGTGTTGGCTGGGTGGGTCCTGAGTCCTCTGCAGGCAGGCCAGCATGACTGAGCTGGGAGCCCCAGGCGGGGCACGTTCTGCAGCAGGGTTCCTGTGAAGAGGGAGACGAGGCACTGGTCACTGAGAGCTGCACCAAGCAACCTCCCACCCTCCCCGGCACCCCTAGGAACATCAGAGACCGGTTGTTTTTTAGACCTCTCTCTATGTAGCCTACAGCATATGTTCCCCAGCTTCTGGGATGAGGGGGTACTACCATGTGTACCTCGGGCCAGATGTTCAGAACAGACAGACATTCTATCTCCTTCCAATGGAGAAACTGAGGTATCCATAGGTGCCACAAAGCCATCACAGGACAGGATCAGAGGTGGCCCCCCCAAACCACATCAAAGCCAGAACTCATGAGCCTCATAAACCCTTGGCTAGCTGGTGTGTGGGCCACAGCCAACTGTTTCAGACTCCCAGTCCTCTGTCAAGCTGTGCTTTGGCTGGTGGTAGACCCCCACTCTCTCATAATCCTGTGATAGATCTGGCCCTAGCTTCACGGGGTCATCTTTGCGGTCCATACAGGAGCATTCAGGTAGAACCAGTAAGGACTATGTCCCTGATACCGTAAGTACTGGTGTGGCACCTGTTTTGGGGTGTTCTCACAGTACCCTGGAGGAGTGTCGGGAAGGTGTCCTGAGGAGGCGGCTTGGGATGCTCACTCCAAGTAGGAAGGGGTAGGCCAGAGTCACCCACAGCAGCCCTTAGACGGCAGCTCAGGTGGGCCACCCCATAGCCCGTTTTGTTATTCACCTCACCAAGTCAGACGCCAGGGGTAGCGGGGCACAGGAAGTTCATGCGTCCCCACAAAGCCTGCCTTCCTGAGGGTGTGGTAGCTACCCTGAGCACTGGGCCCAGGACAAGCCAGTCTTGGAGGCCACTGTGGAAGAAGGGAGTGTCCCAGTGGGGCCCCCCATTCTTTCTCCTTAGCCTGGGTACCCCGAGGTCCTTGAATCCTCCCCATCCCACCCATCCCTGTCCCTGGCAGCCAGCCTGGAGTGCCTCCATCCTGTGCCGGTTGCAAACGAGGAGGGGCTGTTTAAGGGGAGAGAGGGAAGGTATTTAATACTAAACAGGTGTCTGAAGCCCAGAATTCTGCTGCTTCTGATAATGAAGTATTCATGAGCAAAGCCTTTTTTTCACCACTTTCTTAGGATACTAATTTCACAACAAGCTCCTTGTTACGGCGCAATTATTCCAATCTTGTATTCCCCGAGACGGTGGCAGCCTCCCGTCTGTCCTGGCCTCTCGGTAAATGAAAGACAATCACGTAACCACCTTTCATTATGCTCTATTTTACTTTCAGCAGAGGTACCCGTGAGTAAAGATTTCCTCTGAAAGGGACTTTTATTCAGTTTCAAAACCAATTTTCTCCTATTACTGTCTATAAAAAAAAAAGAAAAAAGAAAGAAAGAAAAAGGAAGTGGGGGATGGATAGATGTGGGGGAGGGTGGAATGCTCTTCCCCTCCCCCAGTCTCAACACAGCGAGGCAATAAAAGCAGCAATATCCACTTCTCGGCTTTGATTTCTGGTAATTTTAAAATATGCCATTACAATCAGGCAGAAATGGCACAGCTTAAGGAGGAGTGAAGTGCAGCTTATTGCGGGCTGGAGTCCTTGACGGCAGAAAGCAGGGAGGCTCTTCAGGGACGGGGATGGGAGCAGGTGGCAGAGACAGGCCTGCCGCCGCCACCGCCGCCACATGCCACGGTCCGGCCTGGAGGCCACAGTCCACCCCATTTACACGGAGCGTGCTGGTTTCCACACACTGCAGGTGCTCGCTTGTGTCACACTGCATCACACGAGCGGGGTCCCTGGGGACGCAGGACTGGTCACACACACACAGCATCTGTTTCCTGCCACCCTGAAGCTCAAAACCTGCCTGTGCTCTTCTTTTCACAGGTGATGCTGGACTGGAGGGCGCAGAACCTGCCCCCCCCCCCCGCCCCGCCGGGGCTGTCTGGCTCCCACAAACTCTCGGCTAGGTGGAGAGAGGCCAGAGCCTAGAGTCCCCCAGTCCCTGTACTGGCTGGGAAGTGCTGTCTGGCTTATAAAAGCCATTTTCTTATTCTAGGGTCCTAACCCAGGTGCGAGAGGCCAGAGTCCCACCTCACTCCAGGATGAAGGCACCTACCCTGGCACACGGGCATGATGGGCTACAGCTGTTGACTGGGGGCAGCCTGCCTGCTGTGGTTCTCCTGCCGCCCAGGGCCTCTTGTCTCCAGAGCTGGGATGTCCAAGCAGTCCGAGGGCCATAGGGGCCACCAGGCTGGGGGGAAAGGATGACTGATGTCCACTTCTGGCTCCCCTCAGCTTCTCAGAGCAGTTCTTCAGTTTTCACCTCTGGAGGAACCAGGTTCACTGACCCCACAGCCTAGGACACCAGCTTCACGGGGAGGTGGAGAGGGGGCTTCTCGGCATCCTCAAGTCTCCCAGATCACAATCCATTCTGCCCAACCCTGTGTCCTGCTGTGGGGACTGGGGAGGGGTAGGTCTCAGATGAGCCGGGGCCAGCTTGGCCTTTAAATTCTCCCCACATCACCAGCCCTTTCTGCCTGACCCAGGTCTCTCAAGGCTGCCCCAAGCCCTCCTCCTGGCTGCCTCGTACCTCCAGACCAGGGCAGCTGCTGTACCTGGGCCTGTGGCACTGTCACAGCCATGTTTATTTAGGGCTGTTTCAGAGGGCTTGGCTGGCCGTCAGGGTGTCCCTCACCACAGCCCTGGTCACACTGCGTTGTACTCGCCAACGTCATGTCTACCGGTCTCCGCTGGACCGTGAGTTTCTATTGGGCAAGGGCCGCGTCTTATTTGTTTCCATCGCCCCAGTATCTGGCCAGGAAAGTAGATGTTGGGGAGAAGACTCCACACTTGAGTGTTTGTTGCTCTTAAAGAAGACCTGAGTGTGGTTTCCAGCACCCATGTCACGCCAAGTCCAGGAGGTACATAAACGGCACACCCTCCCACAGACAAGGCACATGTATACACACAGCACACCCTCCCACAGACAAGGCACATGTATACACACAGCACACCCTCCCACAGACAAGGCACATGTATACCCGGCACACCCTCCCACAGACAAGGCACATGTATACACGGCACACAGACAAGGCACATGTATACACGACACACAGACAAGGCACATGCGTACACATGGTACACCCTCACAGACATGGCACATGCATACACATGGCACACCCTCACAGACAAGGCACATGTATACACATCACACAGACACGGCACATGTATACACGTCACAGACATGGCACATGCATACACATCACACATACATGGCACACCCTCACACATCACAGACATGGCACATGCATACACATCACAGACATGGCACATGCATACACGGCACACATACATGGCACATGCATACACATCACACAGACATGGCACATGCATACACATCACAGACATGGCACATGCATACACAGCACACATACATGGCACACCCTCACACAGATATACAAATAAAGTAAAACTAAGGTGTCCGATGAATGGTGCATCAAAACATCTGGTTACTGTGAGATGAAGGCCCAGAGACATCGACGGTCTGGCACAAAGATACCAGCAAGCCAGGAACAAGGCTGTAGTGGGCACCTGAAACACTCATGCCTGCCTTCTCCTTGCCCAGCCTCACCCTGTCTGCAGATGGTGGCTCCTTCAACCCTCCAGCACAGAATCATCACCGTCGGGCCCAGCCGGAGGCCATCTGGAGAGCCACACTGTCTGCAAATCGGACTGTTTATAAAGCTCAGGCCTTTTGTGACTTTGATAATAAAGGGGGGCGGGGGGAGGGGAGGGGAAATGTCATAAGCCTCAATGATTAGAATGCTCTGGCCCCATCCCTGACATGGGGGCTGATAAGACGTCTTATCTGGGAGACACCCAAGGAAAAGGTCCGCTCCACCAGATAACACCCCCAGCTGTCAGTGTGCCCTTTCATAGCGGGACTGGAGATAAGGGGCTGTCACAGGGGAGGGGAGGCAGAAGGAAACTTTCTGAGCCGAGAATCATGCCTGATGCCTGCGTGGCAAACAAGGAGCAGATGCTGCCTAAGGGCTGTCTTTATTTTATTCAAAGACTTGTCTTGGGTAAGAGGATGGCTTTGCTACCTTCTGTCATTGATCCCTCTGTGTCTGGCTGCAGGGGGCAACAGGGAGTCCCAAGAGGTGGGAGCGAGGCCCTGAACTAGCTGGGTACTGGGTACTGAGGACAGCACTTAGTGCTTGCAAAAGCCCTCCACACCCAGATCTGAGTGCATCCCGTCCCTCAACCTAACCACCATGGCAGCCATGGCTAGAGGCTGGTTTTAGCTTCCTCTCACACAGTAGGAATTGGCGTGTCTGTGTCTGTGGGGGGGAGGGCAGTGTGTACAAGCTCAGAAGGATTTTTTAATTGGCAGAGCCCAAGGGTGTCAGATCCTGAGCCTCAGGCCACTGTACGACAAGTCCATCACAGTTGGGAGAATCCCAGAAGCCCCTGGCTTCAGTCAAGCCCACAATCCGCTTGGGTTCTACCCTCAGAGGGGTTGGGAAGAGAGGAGAGGCACAGAAAAAGTCCTCCCTGGAAGCCACCCCCACAACCGTCCAACAGAACAGAACAGGTGTGCTGTGCAGCAGGTGGAACCCTGCCCTCCCTCAACCCACTCGGGCACTTGGGCAGTAACACGTGAGAACACCTTCTTGGGGGGGGGGCATCCCCAGCCACAGATGTAAGCATGACCTGCCACAAGGGCCTAGGGTACCACCCACTCAGAACTACCCCCCCCCCCCCCCCCCCCCCCCCCCCCCCCCCCCCCCCCCCCCCCCCCCCCCCGCCTCCGATCCCTCGTAGGGAAGACACGTCCACCTGCCTCACAGCCTGTCCCCAGAGTAGGGCGGAGGTGGAGAAAAACCTGGGCTCTGGGGAAGGTGTGAGTCCACGAGGCTGCAGCTTCAGCTGCTTCCAGCCTCCATCTCTGCCTTTATCTAGAACCGCCAGAGCAGCAAGGCCCTGCGGCTCTACTCAAGGCCAGACACAGGCCGCAGCCTGAAGAG